CCTGGGCCACCTAGACCGAAACCTGGAACTACATGCAGGGTCCTGGCCCTGAGGAACAGAGACCTAGAAAGATCCTTCCCCCTCCCACTGCCTACAGAAAGAAGAGGAGTAATTAAGGACAATTAGAAGGAATTAAGCCCCGCCTTCTCAGATAACTCAATGTGTTTCCCCCCTTCCTGAATATCTGGAGTCTCCCTCCCTCCACTTCTGGAAGGATCTCATTTAGTGGGAAGAGAACTGGCCTTTGAGTCAGGAAATGTGGGTGCGGATCTGGGCTCCGTCTTGTTTGTATGACCCTGAACAAGTCACTTCCTCAGGTTGAGGCTTAATTCCCTCATTTGCGAGATGGGGAAGAAAATCTCCCCCCCCCCCCCCCCCAGGGTTTCTCTTTGGAAAGAGAAATGGAGATGACTTCTTGTCGTCAAGAAGTTCTGAAACCCATGCCAAGACGACTCAGTTAATAGTCCCAGCAGCCCCAAGGCTCAAAGCAGCCTGTGCGGGCTCCTGCTGCTGCTTCGGAATACACAGGCCTCCTACTCTCAAGCCGGACACACGAAACTTCAGCCTAGCCCTGGCCATCCCTTCCCAAGGCTCCCCAGACCCACACTTGACTCGGGCTTTATCCTCCAGACCAGCTGAGAGCACTCAGCACTTTGAGGCCGGAAACAGGCTGTGTCCATAATTAGAGGTTTCCCCCCCAATAAATTGTAGCAATCACTGCCTGGGAACAGAGTTAGCTATTAAAGGAGTATTTTTTGTTATTGTTTTTTGTAGGACCTTTCCCTTCATTCATTCGATGGGCTAAAGGTAAAGTGAGAACCAGAGTGCCCTGAGGCAGCAAAAAGAGAACCTGAGACATCCATAGGGGGCTGCTTTGGGAAGGGGTCCACCTCGGGAAGAGGCAGCAGGCTGGCCAGTACCGGACCCACACTACTAAGTTCTGCGGGATTCTAGCTAAGGCTAGTCCCACAACCTGGAAGATAAGAGACCTGTGCTGCAGAGGAGCAAGTGGTAAGGATAATTTACTCCCAATGCTGGGGAAAAGCTTCCTAAGAATATGAGCTATCCCAGAGAGATGTGGGCTGGCCTCAGGAGGGAGTGGGCTCCCCCTCAGTAGATGAATTCAAGTAGAAGCCTCCGTAGATGACCCCTGTGGTGTATCGTAGGGGAAATCCTTATTCATTCATTCTGGATTCTCAGGTCTTCTCCAACTCTGAGAGTCTTTGGTTCTGTGATCTGTGGCTCCCATCGTTAACTTGAGGTGTGACCTTGGGGAGTCACTTCCCCATTGGGCTTCAGTTCTTTTCTATAAAATGGGAACATTGAATCTTATCCAGCTCTAAGATTCCATGATCCCGCATGAGTCCTGGAACTGGAAAAATCAAAACACACCAGCTGATCCCATCTAGCATGGCACACACACACACACACACACACACACATACACACACACATACACACTCTCACACACATACACACACACACACACACACACAATAAGTTAGTTAGTTTGTCCCTTTAGGTCTGGGATAGAGTACAAGGATTGTTAAGTTTCTGTGAGAAGGACCAATCGGATTTGGAGAGAAAAGCAAAAAGAAGAACTGAGGGGACATCTTCTTTGAAGACTGAATGGGCCAGGTAGGGTCATCCTTCGCCAGGAAGAAAGTGAAGAATTCCAGTGATGTCCTAGAGAGATGCTTAGGGCCTGGTGACTGGGCACCCATGCTGCAGATGCTGTTGGTGGCCTCTTTCCAAGACAGGTGGGTAATCCTCTTCCCCATGCTGATGCTCCTGTGAGGAGGAGGGAAAGGAGAAGACAGTGGGAGGGCAGCCAGCTCAGGGAATCATGTTCCACCACTTAGAAGAGAAGGGCTTCCGTCGGACATTGGTGCCACAATGGATCTCGCCCATTAACACATGGTAGGAGAGGTAATCATCGATGAAAGTGCACTTGAGTCCCAGAGGATGCAGCAAGTCCTCAACCTTCTCCTCTAGACAGCAGCGCCCATTAATGATGGGTCCAAAGGGCTTGGGAATCCCCAAGAACGTCCCCAGGACAATCATGTTTACCTGTAATGGGAAGAGACAGGGGAGGTGACATAGAGACTGTACTCAGAAGGTGAGAGTTCACCAGTTGAGTCTACCTTTGGGTTCAAGGCACCCCGTTTGGAATAATAATAAGGGCAATGAACCATGAGACAGGAGACCTGGGTTCAAGTCCTGGTTCTCCTGCATACAAGGTATGTGACCATAAGTGAGTTGCTTCCCTTTCCTGAGCCTCAGTTTCCCCAATGGTAAAAGTGGAGAGCAGGACTAGATTTAAGACCCTTCCAGCTCTAACAGTCTATGAGACCATGAACCTCCCCCACGCCCAGCCTCTGAACATTCCCAGAGAGTTTCCTAGTGGAATCCAGGCCTTTAATGGGCTCCTGGACTCAGTTGATAAGATCAGCTCCCAGCCTCTCCCAGGAGTGACACACTCACTAAGACCTCTGCTTCCCAGTGAGATCATATCAGCACATCTGGCTTGTCAGCTCCCTTTGGCTAATTAGGGCCTGGCCAGCAAAAGGGAGCTCAGCCTCCCAAGCAGGTAAGAAGGCAGGGAAGAGCTGAGGAAGCAGCGCCACTCCCACCAGCCCAAGAACTAGAGATCCCTGAATTAAGCATCTCAGACTGGAAGGGCCCTAGGATGCCAGCTAGGGAAGTCCAATCTCCATCTGTGAAATAAGGCCATTCGTTCTATCCTTGAAGATCTCCAGGACAGGTCAACCATGACCTCCAGAAGCAGCCTATTCCACTTTGGGAGAGCTCTTATGGTTAGGAATTTGGGTTTTTTTCCTTTGAGGAGAAATCTTCCCTATCTACAGCTTCCATCACCTGCACCTAATTCCGCCTCTGAAACCAAGCAGAAAAAGTCCATCCCCTCCTCCACATGGCTACCCTTCAGACAACTGTAGCTTCCATATTCCTCCTCAGTCTTCTCTTCTCCAAACTAAACACCCCTAATTCCTTCTGTTGAATTTCATCTGGGATCACAGAGCTGAAAGGGACTTTAGAGGTCATCTTATCCAACCCTCTCATTTTATAGTTAAGGAAACCAAAGCCCAAGTGTCTTGTCCAAGGTCCCCACAGGTGGCCAGGATTTGAACCCAGGTCTTCTAACTCCAGATTTAGCCCTCTTTCACTGCACCAAAGTGAGGCAATGAATCAATATGAAATTGATTCTGGGAAAAAATACAAAAAGATTCACAGGGGGAAAAACCCTTAATAGGTTTTTCTCCCCAATTTTTTTGGGTTTTCCCATGTTTTAACCTCTTCCCTCCAACTTACTTTTGTTGTTGTTGTTCTTGTTGTCATTGGTTTTTTGCTAGGCAATGGGGTTAAATGACTTGCCCAGGGTCACACAGCTAGTAAGTACCAAGTGTCTGAGGCCGGATTTGAACTCTACCAAGTCACTTTTTGAATTTTTTTAAAATTTAGACTCTTTCCCCCTCCTTCAGGCTTCTTCTCCCTCCCCCCTCCATACTTGCTTCTGCTGGAGCTGGGGACTATGGAGTATGGGGACCTGCCCCAAGGGAAGAGGAAGGATTCCCCCTCACAGCTCATGCCAGCTGCCTCACCATGTCAGGAAAGAAGGCCTCTGCATAGGAGTTGCTGAGCTTGAAGAGCTGGGGGATGTCGATGATGTCGCGCTCTGACAGGCCCAGCTCCCGTTTCAGGACCTCACGGTTCCAGTCAATGCATTTCTGATCCGAGGGAGTCAGTGTAAAGTGGATGGGGCGAGAATAGAGAATGAGGACCATCAGATCTAGAGCTAGAAGGAACTTTCAGGATGATCTGATCTCCTACCCATTCATTTTCCAAAGGAGAAAACCAAGATCCAGATGGAAAGTGACTTGCTCAAGGTCACACAGCGAGGCACTAGCAGAGCTTACATTCAAACCCAGGATTTTGGATGCCAAATCCTCCAAATCCTCCTTCCACTACATTAAATCCCTGGCACCCACCAATAAAAGTGGAGAAAGGAAGGGGGCTCTTGTTCCCTGACCAGGTGGCTTCTGGGAATATCCAGCACATTGTGCTAGGGAGGAAATAGGGCTAGGAAAGTAGACCCTGCCACAGACTCACCTCACTGATCCATTCTAAGGCTACTCCTTCCATTAAGGTCTTCCTCTCCCCACACACACTGGACCCCACCACTACCATTACATTCCCTCAATAGGAATCCGTTGATATAAGCTTTAGCTCTCCTTGATGAACTTTGGTTTTCTTATCAGATCCAGTTCCCAATGGATTTCCCCAACAATACCACCAGATCCATTCCCTGCCCCCAGGATTTTTTTTTTACCCACTCTAGGAGCCCTTCCCCAAGAGCTGTCTCTTCCTCCCTCACCCCCCTCTCCCCTGACATTCAAGCCAAACCCCACCTAACCCTGGGAGTCCTGATCATCCTAGGGTCCGTGCTCTCTAACTTTGTTGCTATGGGAAAGGGGAGAAGGAAAGTGGGGAAAGAGAAAGAGGAAACAACTCCATTCAGAGCCCTAACTAAGGTGAGACAACTTGGACTTTGCCCCCAGGGTGCCTGATTTATAGGGTACTAACAACACTCGAAGTCCTTTAGCAGTATAGGTACAACAGATTTTAGCACCTAATTAATAAGAATAATAAGATAAAATAGTAAGCTACAAGAGGGTGGGCATAGATGTCCCTCCTCCTACTCTGCTGCCCCCCATCCTGTCATATGTAGTGGCCTCCTCAGAAGCGATTGGCCCAGCAGACAGTATCCTAGGATCTTTGCTTCCTGCTGTCACTAAAGGGGATGGTCTCTCATCACACCAAAAATGAGAGCCACTTGCCAAGAGCACAAAGATTCCTAGTTATGGCTCTGTCCTTTGTGGATAGAAGGGTGGCAACTTCACAGTTTAAGCTTAGTTCTTTGAATCTACATGGTCACCTTTACCTTTACCTTAGGGAGTTCCCTAAGTTGGAGGACTATGTGTGTCCCTCCTGGGTAGGACATTTCTAGAGATGGAATCTATATCTTCCTTCCTCATACTCAGAGATCCTTGAGAGCAGGGGTTACTATCCCCTTTAGACTGAGAACTCTCTAAGGGAAGGAACTAAATCTTCCCTCACTGAGCTGGGGATTCCCTGAGGGCAGAACCTGTATCTCCTCCCCACCCCCCAACTGGGGGTTCTCTGAGGACCAAGACTGTATCTCTGCCCCCTCAGGCTGAGAACCACTCAAGGGCAGAGACAAAGTCTTTTCTCTCAGGTTGATGGCTCCCCGAAGGCAAGACCTATGTCTCCTTTGGACTACCATACTCCCCCACATATCTCCCACAAGCTCTCCCAAGTACCCTGGACAGTGCCAGTAAGACCAGTTCAAAAGGAGGAGAGTTTCAAGACTGATTACTCTTCTCATTCCAAAGACCCTCCTTCCGCACCTCAGTAGGGCCCTCACCTGGGCATAGCGATTGTCACTCCTAAGGCTTTGGTCATTCAGCATCTCATCAATGGTTATTTTGTTCTTTCCTTTTTTCAATCCTGCAAGAGAGAGGCCATAGAATCAGCCTTGAGTATGGGGCTCCTTAATGTGGACCAGGATTGTCCTGAGACCAGACAAGAGATCTGAAACTGGGACAAGATGAAGTAGGAAGATTAAGGAAACAAAAGGAGCCGAACTCTGGCTGCAGGAAAGAGGCAGCAGTAAATCTCCAGTGGGAAGTGAAGGTGAAGCATCTCCTTTTTGTTGTTCAGACTTGTGATTTCACCGGTCTGGGAAACTCTCAGTGTATAAACACCCTGCACTGATGGAAACCCTTGTCTTGGAATTCAGAGCTAGAAGTAATACACATACACCATCATTCTATTTTTACAATGTCTTGTTGATGTCTTTTGTCTTTATATCATCGTCATTGCCCTCCCCCCATACTGAACCTTTAAAAAAAAAACAAAGAAAAAGAAATACAATTAAGGGAAACCATCCAATATGGTGACCATATATGATGACATATTTGCCTTTTCTTACTACACCATCATATCTCATTTTATCCATGCATCATTTTTTTCAGTCATTTCCCAGCAGATGGGCAGTCACTTTGTGGTTACGAGAAAGAATACTACTATGAATATTTTGTAGTCACTTGGATGTTTGTTTTTGTCTTTACCTTGTTGGGTCAAATGCCCAGTAGAGGGATCACTGACTCAAAGGGAATAAACAATATAATCACTTTCCTTTCTTAATGCCAAAGTGAAATCCAGTATGATTAGACCTCTTCATAGCTCAACTCACCAGCGCTGTATTAGTGTGCCTGCCTACCTCCAGCCCCTCCAGCATTGATTATTCCCATTATTTGTCATATTTTCCAATTCACATGGTTCTAAGTGAAACCTAAAAAGTTGTTCTAATTTACATTATTCTTACTATTTGTGATCGGAGCATTTTTTTCATCTGATCATTTATTGTTTTAAGTTCTTTTGAAAACTGCTTATATCCTTCTACCACTTACCTATTGAAGAATGATTTTTGGTATTGTATCAATTCTCTGTATTTTTTAGATATCAGACATCCTTATTTTTAGAGGTGGAAACTGAGGCTCAGAGAGGAAGAGTGACTTTATCAGGGTCACATAGCTAGCTGGTAAGTAGCACAACTAGGATGTACAAAAGGTCCTGTCATTACTCTTTCCAACCCAGCAAACTGTCTATCCTTTTGTCGGGTGGGAGCCAGAAATAAATCTTCTGACTGGAGAGAGCAGGGAGACAGGGGTAGGGATAGGAGAAAATCACTTTTTGGAATGCAAGTTCCTCCCTCTTTGAGGAACACCTCCTCTCCCACCCACCCATCCAAGGAAAACTTTCTAAACTGAGTTCTCTCGGGCCAAAGTATCCACTTCTGTAGGTACGAATGTTACCCTTAGATCCCTGTGGAAGAGTAGAAGTAGTAGTAGTAGTAGTAGTAGTAGTAGTAGTAGTAGTAGTAGTAGTAGTAGTGGTAGTAGTAGTGGTAGTAGTAGTGGAGGTGGTGGTGGTGGTGGTAGTAGTAGTGGTGGTGATGGTAGTAGTCATCATTATCATCATTGTCATCATCATCATCATCATCATCTCATTCACATCTTTTTAATGTAGCCCAGATTGAAATGATCCTGGGACAAGTCACTATCTTCTTATTGTTCTTTTATATTTAATGTTCTGAACACCGCTGAATAGATGGATACAATAACTGCTTTCTTCTAGTTGAATAAAAGTGTTGGGATGTGAGCTCATCTCCAGTCTCATGGAAGACACTCTCCGAACCACTCTAGGAGCACACAGAGTGATGGGAAGAATAGGGACTTCATCTTGTTCCCACATGGGTTTGATTTCTTATGCCAGGTCTGAGTATTTTGAAAATTTTTGTTCCACACAGCTTGGAGATTTATCAATATTTGATACAACAACATCTATTAAAAACATCATTCTTAAATATTTATGGGTCAATGTGATGTCTGAGTGATTGTGGGCAATAGGTTAATCCGGGATAAGCATCTGATTCCAATGCATTTTACTGGCTGAACTCACAAAGATTTTTTGATATCTACACCAGTAGTCTGGCAATCTGTCATCTGTTAATATTATTTTTTATTATAAGTCTTGAGAGATAGTGTGTCATAGTGAAGAACCAACCTCATGGCTGGAAAGAGCTGGGTTCAAGGTCTGCCTCTGGCACATACTTGCTGTATGACCCTGGACAAGTCATTTACCCTTCTCAGCACTCTAGGCAACTTTCTCAGATGATTAGTTTTTGAGAAGGTGATAAACTGTATTGGTAAAGTTCACTAGACCAATAAAATCACAGGTCTAGTCCCTATTCCTATTAATTTCTTTCTTTTCATCTTTTTTTTTTCATGGAATTAAGATAGAAATGGTCCTAAAGCAAGGCTCTAAGTTTATTGTTATTGTTTTGTATTTGAAGTTCTGAACCCAAGAAGACATTCAACCTCAAGTACATGGTACAATGGAGAGAGCGCTGGCTGTTGAGTCAAACGACTTGCCCAAGGTCATACAGCTAATGTGAGTTTAAGGCCAGATTTGAACTCAGTTCTTCCTGACTCCAGACCACTGTGCAACCTAGCTGCCTCTGATAAATGAGGTGAGAAACAGAAGGAACATCGTATAGAATATATTACAGACCACCTAGCCAGCAGGAGGAAATAGATGAAAAGATTATGAAAAAGATCACAAATCTGGCTCAGAGCTACAACATAGTAGTAATGGTGTACTTCAATTATACAGTCATCTGTTGAACCTCTCTTTGCCAAAAGCAGAGCAGCAAATCAATCTTTGGTTTGCCTTAATAACTTTATCCTTCAAAAGGTGGAGGAAGCCGCAAGGGAAATTACTGATACAGCCTGATTTTGACCAAAAAGATGAAATGAGTCACTGGGACTAAAATTATGGGAACCTTGGGGGGAAGAGACTACTCTATCTTAGAATTTGAGATAGAAAAGGGAAGAAAAGCCGGACACAATCTGAGGTGAACCCACAATTTGGGGATGGAAGATTTCAAAGAGTTTAGAGAGAGGCTATATCCTAGAGGAAAATAAATTCAACCCAAACAGAATGGGAAACTGTCAAGAATTTGGAAGGAATTCTGAAGACTTATGGATAAGTACTTGACCTAATATTTCAGTGGTAGAGTGAACTACTTGTTGAAGAAATTTCATCCATCAAGGCATGTCAGCACATTTGCTGTGACTTGAGTCTTAGAGAGTTGCTTCAGGACACTGAGAGGTTAAGGGACTTGTCCAGGATCACACAGGCAGGGCTTGAACCCAGGTCTTCCTGGCTCTGAGGCTAGTTCTCTCAACACTAACTCCATCACACTACCTCTCTTCTGAGGACATAAACAGGGACAATTTCTTTTTCTTTCTTTCTTTCTTTCTTTCTTTCTTTCTTTCTTTCTTTCTTTTCTTTCTTTCACAGAGTTAAATGACTTGTCCAGGGTGACACAGCTAGTAAGTGTCTGAGGCCAGATTTGAACTCAGGTCCTCCCAACTTCAGGGTCAGTGTTCTATCCACTGAGCCACTTTAGCTGCTCCTGAACAATTTCAATGAGGAAGAAAACAAAAAGCTTACTATAGGGACTAATAAGAATGCACAGGTGATCAAGTAATCCACACAGATTTTTGTTTTTGGCTTTTTGGTGAGGCGATCAGGGTTAAGTGACTTGCCCAGGGTCACACAGCTAATAAGTGTTAAGTGTCTGAGGCCAGATTTGAACTCAGGTCTTCCTGACTCTATGTACTATGCCGCCTAGCTGCCCCTGCACAGATATTTTAAAGGCATATTGAAAAGATAAAAGCAAAGGCAGAAAACAGAGGATGAATGCAATCTTATAAGAATAACATAATGAATGCTAAAACTAAAAATGCACTGGTGCTGATAGGTGGTATGGCAGATAGAGCGCTGGGTCTGGATTCAGGAAGATCTGAGTTCAAATCCAGTTTCAGACACTGACTAGCTATGTGTTCCTGGGCAAGTCACTTAACCTCTTTTGTCTCTATTTCCTCATCAGTAAAATGGGGATAATAGCGCCTGCCTCCCAGGGTTGTTGTGAGGATCAAATGAGATAATATTTGTAAAGCATAGTGCTGGGCACATAGTAAGTGCTATGAAAGTATTAGCTATTATTATTAAATGAATGCTAATGATAATTTTTAAAAGGCCAAATGAGAGATAGGCCATTGTTCATGGCAGATGGGATAATCAAATGAGCAACAGAAAGAAAGAAGACAGAACTACTTAACTTTCTATTTTCTCTGCCAAAGAAAACTCTCTTCAGCTCAGGAAGGTTAAAACAAAGATGGCTAATAGGGTGTTGAGATCCAGAACAAGGGAGGAGGTAGTAAGAGAGCATTTAGCTGCCTTCAGTGAGTTTACATTTCCAGGCCTAGATGAACTATGTATGTTCTAGGAGACTAAAAGAGATGTCAGAGGTGATTCCTAATCTGTTGTCTGTGATTTCTGAAAAACTCTGGAAAACAGGAAAGCTGTCTCAAAATTCCAGACACAAAAATGTCCCAGTTTTTTTTTTAAGGAAGAAGAGAGAGCCTTCAAACTTTAGGCAAGTGAGTTCAACTTGGATTTCTAGCAAAATTTTAGAGCCCGCTATTAAAGAGATGCTCTGTGGATGCTAAGAAAGGATGTGGTGATCGTGGAGAGCCAGTGTGTCATCAACAAAAACATGCCAGCCTCACTTCCTTTCCTTGTTTCATAGGGTGACTAAACAGGTGGATCAAGGAAATGCCACAGACATGGCATATCTGGATGTCAGCCAAGCATCTGCCAGTCTTTCATTCTTCCTTGTGGAAAAGATGGAAAGAGGTGACTTAGTTAAGAGGTGGAATGAGAAGCAGTTAAAGGCTGGACCCAGAAAGAAACCACTCATGGGTTGATCTCAGCTCGAAGGAAGGTTTACAGTGGAGTGCCACCCTCCCCTCAAGGATCTCTCTTTGACCATGTGCTTCTTCAACATTTTATTGATGACCTAAATGAAAGTCCAGGTGGAATAATTATCAAATTTATAGATGACACCAACCTGGGAGTGGCAACTAACATGTTACATGGCAGATCTAGGAACCAAAAAGTACTAGACAGGCTAACATTCTCTCCTTAAATTTCCTTAAATCTACTTGTCTGTGTCGAGGTGGTATCCCACAACCTGGGACTCAATAAATTTGGTTCAACTCAATAAAACTTTTCCTATAGGTTCTGTCCCCTCCTGAGTCTCCAGCCTTATTTTGCAAATACATAAACTAAAGTACGGTTGATCCCAGCTCACAAATCAAATTGGAGCACAGCAAGACAACCAAAGTGTCCCAGTGTTTCCACCTTCATTTCATCACTTTCCCCACATTCATTGATGTTTTCCTTTCCAACTTCATATTTGCTCTCCTCTCCTCTCCTCTCCAGTTTTTTCTACTTTTTCACTCCAGACCTTCCTGCCTCCTTCCATCTCTCCCCTATCTTTTATATAAGAGGAAGGATCTCAAAGAAAAAAGACTCTCTCTAAGGTGACTGTGACTTGAGTGGGAAATAGTGTGACCCAGAAGCCCTGAGTTCAGATCTTGCCTCAGACATTTTATTTTAGAAAGCCAAGTCACCTAACTCTCCAGGTCTCACTTTCCTCATCTGTAAAAGGAGGTGGTCAGAGTTGATGGCCTTTAAGGTCCCATCAAGCCTTAAAGCTATCTATGGTACTATGATCCTATGATCCTGGATTTGATATCTGGGAAAGCACATGCAAGTTCTGGGTTCTAATTCCCCAAAGGGTCACCAATATGTCTCATGGCCTCAGGCAAGTTAACCAGCTTCTCTGTTCCGCAGATCCCTGCCCCTATAAAGAGAGAATCATTATCCTTCACTCCCAAACAGGGATGTTTGGGGGATTAATTAAAGTTTGTTCCACATCCCAAGAGATCTTTAGATGTAGGTGGTATGTTAATGTTGGACCCAATGATTAAGCAATGTTTATGAAACACAAAGAGATCAAGAGATGAAAGGGACAAGATATGATTATGTTTAATAGCAACTCACCTTCAAATTGGGCAGCAGTCCCATGGCCTTCATCTTTCTTCTCCTGAAAGAGTTTGAAGCAAGCATCTGGACTGGCCAGGAGCAGCCTGAAACCCTGCCAGGGAGAGAGGACACTTCAGTCACAGATCTATAATTGGAAGGGCCCTTGAAACCTAGAATGTTTGAGTTGGGAGGAACCTTAGAAGAGAGAATGTCAGAATTAGGAGGGGCTTTAGAACACAGAATGTCAGAGCTGGGAGGGGCCTTAGAACATGGGATATTAGAAATGGAAGAATCCTTAAAGTTAATTCTGCCCAACCTCCTCAATTTACAGAAGGGGAGCAACAATCCCCAACTCTTAACCACTGGCTGGTAGAAGGTGAGGGCAAGGCAGGCCCAAGGAGAGTTAAGAGCATCTTGGTGTATGGCCAGGACTTGGTGAAGGACCAGGGGTAGTTTTGGCAATGTGGCATGGGTCTATAGAGGATCTTGAGACAAAGGCAGGAAATGTGCCCTATTGGTTTCAGCACCCTGGACAAAGTCCCACTAGCCCTGCCTTTCTTACTGTTCTAGAACACATAACTTGATGCTAGTTTGTTTAAATTCGCCTATCTACAGTTACCATGGTAGTCATCCAAGCTGAGGAGGGAAAGAAGAGGCTGGGGATATTGTACCTTCTGTCCAGGGGCAGGAACAAAACTGAGGAATTCATCCACATGCCCCACATTTAACCAGTCAGAATAGAGCTCCACAGGGTCCTGCACCTTCTGGGCGTACAGGAAGTTCTTGACGACCTTGGCCATCCGGCGGCCACCTGACCTAAGACCAAGAGAGACAAATCATTGTCATAGCAAAGCAGGACAGATGGGAACCCTGCCAACTTAAAGAGAGTCACCTTATGTGTCTTCCACGGACACATCTGCCAACATATGACTATTGTCACCTTTGTCTTTTTCTCCCTGGAAAGTCCATCCAGAAATGACCCAAAATCATAAGCATCAGACCCCTGTGACCTGACACCTTCACTTGGACACTTTGTACTTTATTGATTCAATAACTCATCCACATTCATTCTTCTCCTTTTCACTCTAATTTTCTTTCTCTTATTTCTCCCTTTCATCATTTCCTCTTTTGTCTTCCTGTCTTTTTTCTCTGATTAACATTTTCTTTTTCCTCTCCTCAACATTCCTTTCTTCTCTTCACAAAGAGAATTGGATAGCTAGGTGACACAATGGATAGACCACTGGGCTCGCAGTCAGGAAGACCTGAGTTCAAAGCCAGTCTCAGATACTTACTAGCTGTGTGAGCCTGGACAAGTCACTTAACCTCTTCTGCCTCAGTTTCCTTAATTGTAAAATGAGAATAATGGTACCTCCTAGAGCTGTTACGAGGCTCAAAGGAGATCATTTGTAAAAGCATTTAACACAGTGCCTGGCACATAGTAAGGTGCTTAATAAATGTTTGTTTCCTTCCCCTTTCATCAAAGCTCCTCTATTCTCCACCCCTCTCTTTTTTTCCCCAGAAGAGAATATGATATACAGAAAGAGAAAATATGAGATGGAGGGAGAGGTAACTCTCAGAATATCTGGAAACACAAATAAGGAAGAGAAAAACATTAACCAGAGAAGATAGGTGGATAGCCTCACCTCAGAGAGGGAAAGTAGCTGACATGTCTAAGGTCACACGACCAAAACAGGTTTAGGATGAAGGTGTCACATCTACTGGTCTTCTAACCATCAAACTAAAAAGCAGGATTTCTTCATGTGGGGCTTGGGATTCTGCCTCAGATAAGGAGGTGATGGTAAGACCATACTAGCGGGAGCAGTATGGCAGAAGCCAAACCAGAAAGACAATGAGGTGGGAAGGAGGGGGCTCTATGAGAAAAGGAGTGAGGTCAAAAACATGATAATGTTTTATTCATTGAAATGAATTCATTTAACTGTAAATAGTTACTAAACAAGTTTAGGTGGGTGTACTGATGTTCTATATTGTTTTCAATCAAACTTGAAAAAACATTTCAGTACTAAAAATTAAGAGCAAATATGTCTTCTTTAGATTGAATAAATAATATGTCTCATGAAAGAAAAAAGAAGGAAGGAAGAAAGGAAAGAAAGGAGGCAGGGAGGAAGGAAGGGAAGGAAGGAAAGAAAAGAAGGAAAGAAAGAAAAAAGAAAGAAGGAAAGAAGGAAAGAAGGAAAGAAGGAAAGAAGG